CTGTTGGAAAGGATAGACAGGTAACTGCTTAATGCCAGTGACTGGACTCGTTTAACAGAACACTGGGACCTGAGTGTGGCTGGGGAGCAGCAGTGGGACTGACGAGTGGACCAGAGAAGCTGGGTGAAGAGGAAGGCATTAAAGCCCACCACGAGATGGATTGTATTTTACTGCTTCTCCATGTGAGGGCACTTGCCCCACAAGAGGAGGGGATATGAATGCACTCAGCTGTCACAGTGGACATGGTCCTTGGACCTGGCCCTGAGGCCTTGGTGGGAATCCTGGCACTTCCCCTGAAATCCTTTAGCCCAAATGAGCCTCAGTTTCCTATCTGTTCTATTGCAAAGGGTGGTGTAAATTCAGATGCTGCATGCAACCTGCTTAGCAAGTGCCTCACACCTGGTAGGCATTTACACACTGTAACTGGGATTTGAACTCAAATAATTTAATGCCACATTTCCTACTACATGTTACTTACTGCAGTGTATTATAAGGCAATAGATAAGGCAAACCCTGACTTTAAAGAGGCAGGCATGAAATAGATAATTTCAATATAGGGAGGTAAGGATTCTGAACAAGATAGAATAGACATGGGCTAATAGGATACCCCATAATTTGGGGCGCTGTTGATGGCATGGTCAAAGGGGTTGATGGAAGGATTTGTCAATCATCTGTCTCTCTCCAGGAGGTCCACCAATGAAAGAATACTACCTGTGTTATTCAGAAGCACATCCATTAGGGGCACTGTGGGAAATAGGGAGGGAGGGAATGTTTAAGGTGTGCTTAAGTAAAAGAGGAGTTAGCTAAGTGAGGAACAAAGAGTTAGCCAAATGAAGTTAGCCAAGTGAAGTCGGAGAAAGCTGCATGAACAAAGGCATAGAGGCTGGAAAGAGAATGGTATGTTGAGGGAATTGAAGGCAGGTTATTCAAATAAATGGAATCTTAAGTATGGGAACTGAAGATAAAGTAAGATGAGTCAGTAGGGGTAAAAATTATTAGTAAGATATTTTGTGTTTCCAAGCTAAGAACCTTGTGTTGCCAAGCTAAGAAGTATGTCACTTATAGGAATGAACACTCAAGTGAAAGGCCAGAATGGGATGATTTATCAGACTCTAAGATACCTCCCCAACCCTAAGATATGCCTGCCTGGCCAGACTGTCAAAGTACCCATGATATTTTAATATCAAGCCCAAAGTAATAACCATATTAACCCCAAACAGATATCACTTCTTACTCTCCGGAGAGTTTATCAGATTTATTAGCGAGGTGAATTTTCACAACAGCTCTGTGCAGTAGGTGCTTTTATTAGCTCACCCTACAAAAGAGAAGACCAAAGCACAGATAGGTTGAGTGGCTTGGCGAAAGTCACAGGAAGCAGACAGTGGAGTCAGGATTCAAACCTAGTCGGCTCAAGTCCTTGGCTCAAGTCCATTTTCTAAACCACCATATTATTTCACATCTATCTCCCAGATCACTATTTTTCTTCATCTGAGTGTATCACTTTAAGCCCATTTGATAAATTTCTTCTATCCATAGCCCTATTCTTCGATTATAGAATGTCTATTTAGTTCTTTTTGCCATTTATCTTGCACTTGCCCCATGGTTTCTACATTCTTTTTCACCATGAAATGTTTTAAACACATATACTCTCTCAAATTGGTCCACTGTCTTTAGTTTCTAAGGTACGAACTTTTCCATATGTTCTGTCTGCTGATGCTTGCTAATGGTGGCTTTCTTCCCCTCTCTTGTAGGCATTATAATTTTTTAAAGTAAGTCCAACATTGGCAAGAGTTTGCCATTGTTGTTTTGTGGTTTTGATTTTTTCAATTTTGTTTTTGGTGGAAGACCTCATGCATGAGGATGTTGAGACATTTTTAAGAGCTGGTTTTAGGTTTGCTGCTGTCAGTGTCTCCTGGTTTAATCAATTCCAAGCCAGCCTTTTATGTTATCTTCTTGGTTTGTGGCTTGTGCAATACCTGAGAACCCCAACCCCATTCCCATATGTAGTACAGGCTGAGGTTTGATTTCTCATGGGTGATCCCAATGGCCCAGGGTGCTTGACAGATTTGCATATCATATCCTCGGCAGAATTTTCCTTATTTCATAGTTAGGCCAGTCATTCTCCACTCATACCCTAATGCAGGGAGTTTGTTTCCTGTGGCTCCAACTTTTATCCCCATGCGATACTGAAACTCCAGGCCCTAGGATGTACACATAGTTTTCAGATTTTCATGGGCTCTTTCACTGAATTCCTCCTCACTGATCGTTGCTCTAGTATTGAACTTGTTCTTAATTTCTGGAGCCTCGGGATTTCACCTCTTTGTGTACCAGCCCGGCAATGGATTATTTTTCTTTCATTGTATATTTCACTAGTATCTCTCTGTGATTGGAAGAAGTGTCTCTTGAAAGCTCAGTCTATCAAATTGACAGAAGGCTTTGATTATGCATTTAGCTATCAGTCTTCCCAAGTAGTCTCTGAGTTCATGGAGGACAGGGGCCTTTGTCTGGTTTATATTTATATCCTAATTTTCACTGAGTTCCCAGACCAGAGTAGGAATCAATAAGTTTTTGACCAATGAATGATCTTTCTTATTCAAATTGGAAATTAAAGAGTATACACTAATTACCTTCTAGAAAAGGTAATGCCAAGCATCCTCACACCTCCAGAAAGCCATCTGTGCTCTCTGGAAGGCTATGTTGAACAAACAAAGGAGTCTGGGCTTGCCTGTATCCCTCCCTTTGGCCAGCAGGTTCATACTATAGACACTACTTCCTTCTTGATGGGCAACCACTACTAATTACAGTGCTGGTCCAGTAGAAATTCCAAGTCTGGCAGGCGGGGTTCCAGACTGCTGGCTCTGCTGCTGTTCTTAGCATGCACTGATGCCTTTCTTTTGCCATAACTGGCATCTGATCACCAACATGCAATGTGCAATGATAAAATTTTTCTTTTGGCACCATAAGGAACTTGCAAAATAAGTTCATATAAAAGCACCCAGCACAGTCCCTGGCACAGAGCAGGTAATAAGTTAATGTTTAGGGTCCTTTATTTCTTCTTTTCCATTAAATATATTCTATAAATATTTGTTGAAAATGTACTGCTTTCTAGACATTGCGTTTGGTGCTGGAGGTAGACAGGAATAACATGTAGTGCCTAATTTTATACCTAATAAAAAAAGAATGTCCAGATCAAATTTGGCAATAGAAAAAATTATTCTAAATGTTCTTTGATTTAAGGTGAAAAGACATCTCATTTCATTCTACCATCCTAAAGTGCCTAGTAAAGTATAACCAGCAAAATAACTTCACCTATTGCTGTTTTATAAAATAAAGTTATCTCTTCTCAGAGAGGAAATACAATTTCCAGTGGATGTATTAGTTGTTCTTATGCTGTTATAAAGAACTTCCCAAGACTGTGTAATTTATAAAGGAAAGAGGTTTAACTGACTCACAGTTCTACACAGCTAGGGAGGCCACAGAAAACTTACAAATTATGGCAGAAGGTACCTCTTCATAGGGCAGCAGGGGAGAGAATGAGTGCCCAGCCCAGGGAAGGGGGAAGCTCCTTATGAAACCATCACATCTCATGAGAACTAACTCATTATCATGAGAACAGGATGGGGAAAACCACCCGCATGATTCAGTTATCTCCACCTGGTCCCTCCCACACATGTGGGATTATGGGAACTACAACTCAAGATGAGATGTGGGTGGGAACACAGCCAAACCATATCAGTGAACAATAGAGAGCTAATCACAAAAGACCATTTATGACAATTACTTTTGAGTTCCTTTTACCACTATAATCTCAGAACCTTGAATCAATCATGCCTGAACTAAAGTAGCAGCTCAGTAAGTTTGCCGAATTATTTGCAACATATGTATGGCTATGGCTTCTCACTAGGTGTGACTCATTATTCCACACATATTTATTGAGGATTTCTTACGAATAAGAGTTTGTGCTAGATTTTGTGATGGAGGACCCCCCCCCCCCCAAAAAAAGCAAGATAGAAACCCTACCTGCAAGGAACTTCTATTCTAGGCTCAAGGGTGAGATAGACAGGTATAAAAATCACCTTAATATAATATAGAAAATGTGAAGAGAAGAACAGAGAAAGGAGCTATGGGAGTTTCAAAGAGGGAAAGGCCACTTCCTCCTGGAGAGATTAGACAAGACTATGGATCACATAAAATTTATCCTTGGTCTTGAAGGAGAGGAAATTTATTACCTTGCAAAAGGGGGAGAATGGGTATTAACAAATAAGGAAAGGCAATCCAGGTGAAAAGACAAAAGCAGAGAATCAGAAAAGCACAGGACATATAAGAAGAAATCAAAATCTGGCTGGAGATGCATAATGGGGAATACAGATAACTAAGGCTGGAAAGGTAGATTCAGCCAGACTGCAGGGGCTTTGGATGGGTCCTGATGCACGACTCTAGGACACAGGGTCTCTATAAAATAGCCAATGCTTAGCATATGGCGGGGTTTAATTAATGCTAAACAACAATCTCCTAGCAGAAACCTGTTCCCCACCTGCACACAGGAAGCTGCCATCTGTATGCACAGGCAATTACAAACATTCCAGATACTCAGTCCTGAACCCTGCAAGCACATCAAATGCTCATTGTGAAAGGTCACTGAGCAAACAGCTCTGATCAATCCTGGCTCAGGCCGAATCAAATCCCCTAAATAAGATACACTAGATGTAGTGTCAGGAAGGTCAGAAACAACCCTATTTCACATCTTGAAGCATTTTTACCATGTGGAACATTTTAGAGGAAGAAGAGAAAGGAACAAGGGGGGAAGAAATTATCCAGAAATAATAGAATCCCAAGTAATTAAATGTTAAATGATGACAAAGTAAGCTGGGGATTTATTATGGCCCCCACCTCCTTCCAGTGATCTGAAAGACAGTTGATTTCAAAGAAGGTCATGCCAGGATTAAAAACAGAGTTTCACGCCTCCCTCCTCACCTCCCCTTTGTGCCCCCACTGTGTACCTTTGTCGAGTTCACTTGAAATGTTCCATGATGAGGTAGGCACTAACTCAGCAGTGACTGACAGCTCTGTTTCTGAAAAGAAAAAGAAGGGAAGGGAGAAATATAAGGGCAATATTAAATATAGTAACTTATGGGTTGTTAGAAGCATTACAGGAGATTTCCAAAGGGCTTGCCTTTGGAGAGAGACCACGGCAATCCCATAGCTTATTAGACTGGAATGGCCACTCTGGATGCCAGTAGAGGTGCCTGCATTTTAGAGGCCATCCAAACAAACAATCTGTGGGCCAACATTTGAAGATTTTTACTTCAAAACACTGGTTTGAAAATTAAAATGTAAAAGATTACATTAGCCTTCTCAACATCACTTACCATCAGAGAAATGCAAATCAGAACTACAATGAGATATCATCTCACATCAGTCAGAATAGCTATTATTAAAAAGCCAAAAAATAATATGCTGGCAAGGATGCAGAGAAAAGGGAATGCTAATACATTGTTGGGGGAATGTAAATTGGTTCCACCACTGTGGAAAGCAGTTTGGAGATTTCTCAAAGAGCTAAAAATAGAACTACTGTTTAACCCAGCAGTCGCATTACAAGGTATATCACCAAAAGAAAATATTCTACCAGAAAGACACCTGCACATGTATGTTCATCACAGCACTATTCATAACATCCAAGACATGGAATCAACCTAGGTGCCCATCAACAGGCGACTGGATTAAGAGAATGTGGTACACCGTGGAATACTATGCAGCCATAAAAATAATGACATCATGTTCTTTGTAGCAACATGGATAAAGATGGAGGCCATTAGGCTAAGTGAATTAACACAGAAGCGGAAAATGAGATATCAAATGTTCTCGCTTATAAGTGGGAGCAAAGTCTTGGGTACCATAGATATAAAGATAGGAGTAATAGGCAATGGGATGATAAAAGGATAGAGGGAGGGGAGCAACGGTTAAAAAACTACCTATTGGGTACTACGTTCACTATTTGGGTTCATCCTGCATTCCATCTCAGACCCCACACCTCAGCATCATGCAATATACCCTTGTAACAAGCCTGCACATGTATCCTCTGAATCTAAAATAAAATGGAAATTAAAAAAAAAAAGAGCAAAATACACTTCACCCCCAAAATACTACCTTAACAAGAAAACAAATCTGCAGAAATGACCACATATTACCAAACATAAACTCCTTTTCTTGTTGAAAGACCTGTCTTAGATGAATACATTTAATAGTCTTCCTATTGAAGAACAATGTTGCTCTTGTAAGTAATTTCATTAGTTGTGTTTGGAATTGGTAGCGTTTCTGTGAATAGAGAAATTCATTTCTCTACATTGGAACTTTAGGTTCCAATACAAACGAAAGCTAAGTATCTGAATAGAGAGAGTCATTTGTGGTAACTAAACTTAAAAGATAATTTTCAAAGCCATCATAAATTAAAGCAAACATACAAATCAATAATCTAAAGGACATAATACACTATGAAGTACTTATGGGCTGTCAAAACTCCTTAATAATAGACTGTAATTGTTGTTTTTATTTTTTGAAAATTTAAGCCATGCTATTAATATATTGTAATGGGGTTACACTGATCTCCCCTTAGGTTATGTCTACACACACACACAGAGAACATTAGAGAATAGTCGGGCTGGATAGGATCTTGGAGGACTCAGGGTCATTAGATATAAGGCATACAAATTGTCAGTCCCTCCCACTTCAATCCAGTGCTGCATCTTTAATCATTATGGCTCTATTTGCCTGTTAGGCCTGGGATCTGTGTAGAGTCCTCTAAGCACAGTGCTCTAGGTAGCCACTAAAAACGGGTCTGAGATGGAATGCAGGATGAACTTTAATAAGGGGAAGAACTGCAATTCAAACCCAGGTCCGTCTGACTCTAGCATGCCACACCTTCTGGCAGGCCGTGCTGACCAGTATCCAAGCCTGTGAAACCTGACTTTTTTTTTTCCACCTTACCTCTGGCCTCACCTTTTCACAGAGATAAGCACATTTTCTGTATTTCCATATTTACTGATGGTGACTGTCTGCCAAATGACCACCTTATCATCACTGACTGAGCTTGAACAAGAACAGGATGTTGACCCACTGAGACCTTGCAAAGGTATACTTCTAGTTTATCTCTCTGCCACAGCAGAGACAAAAGGATTGTTTGGTTTTTGCAGACCTCCTTGGCTTACCTCTTTCCTGGTCCTAGAAGCAGGTGGGAAGGAAGTAGACGAAGCACGCATACCCTCCCCACCTGCAATGGCCCTGATTTCCTCCAATGTCCTGAGCCAAAAATAGCACAGACTCTTTTAAGGGGAACAGGAGTCAGATGGGCAGCATGGCAGGGATCTTAATTATAAAATATGAAAACAAAAAGAAAATTTTATCCAAGTAGGGGAAATGCTTAGTGGAAAGCAGTGCTTCTGTTATCAACCCGTTGTTTGGGGAATAGGTATTTCATGCAGGTGATTTCCCCAGGAAGAGCTAATTGTGTACATTTCAGGGCCCTCCACAGATAACTCCAACCCCAACTCCACTCTAAGCCCCATGCTGCTGCCACCCACTTTGGCTCTTTCAATGATGACAGCCCTTGTTTGAAGTATTATGGACTACTGTGGTTCGCCTATGAAAAAGGCTCATCAAACACTCCAACACCCAGACTTCAGGGAGCTTGGGAATAGAAGCTCAGCAGCCAAGGCAGTTTTTCAGGCAAAGGAGCACAGGTTGGAAAGTGGTGGGATTAAGACGGACCTTGACAGCATTTACATGCAATATTTTCCTAGCTTCATCTTACTGCTGCTCACAGTGAAATTGCCAGAAATATAGGTTTCATTTTACAGTGTTAATTTTATAGACAGTTAGCTATAGGTCTCTTGGTTTTTCCAAGCCAAGTTGAATTGCGATTGAATATAATTTGGGACCGATGACAAATGAATAGATTCTTGGCACCGCTAACAGTGAAATTGTTCCCCACGTGTCCCTGGACACTAATTACCACTCAGTTCTTGGGCTTCGGCGAAGATAATTTCAGTTCGCAAGCTCATTAAGTGATTGTGCTGATTCTGAGGAATTTTGTTCTCATCCTCAAGATCCATTCCTTTAGATAATCATGTGTTCAGCTTCTCAGATAAAATGATAATAAAAACAGATAAAATACTTTAAAATATGAATAACTTCCCTGAAAAATATTATCTTTATTTTTAAAAATAAAGGCTGATTATTATATGTGGAAAGTTGAATATGAATAATCTCCCCTCACAAAGTAATGTTTAATGATCTTTTTTTTTCTTCTTCACTGAAAGGAAAAGTAAAGTTTAAGTGAGAAAAATCCAGCACTGTCAGCTTGAACTCCATCTATTCCATGACCACCAGTGGCTTCGGAGAGAGACATGGCCACCAGTTTTGAACCTGTAAGATCTCCACTGATGCATTCCTATTCGCCTCACCATTGGCAAAAGCATGAGACATTTCCACATATATTTACCACTAGCCTAGGAGCCTCTCTTTACCAAAAGCATTATGGTAATAGCAAACGTGTATGTGCCATTTAGAAGACAATAAAATATTTATTGGAAATACACACCTAAATTTTAACACTACTGTCTGCCACATTAATTTTGTGATGATGAGAAAGTTACTGACATTATTTAACTTTATTTTCTTACCTATAAATTGGGGACAATAAAAGCCATCTCAAAGGACTGAAGTAATGATTAAATTAAATAATGAACCAAAAGTCTCCTTTACAGTATCCAGCATAGAGAGACTCCAGGGCTTTCAAACCTCTCCTTTGTCAGGTAAGGTACAGAGTGGCCATCCTCTGCATGGATGTACTTGGTTAGCTACTAAGTCACTGTCGGTATTTGAAATAGCATATTTACCATGCTCTTAGAAAGACACTGCATTTCACAGGCCTCACTAATCCAAGCCAATCTTTTCATTTTGTGAGGTTTTCCTGAATCGGTCACCAGTTGCCTAAGAACATAAGTGTTTTTATATGGTTTTATCCAATTTGAGCAAACCAAGCTTGTTTTAGAAAACTGCAGCCCTTATCTTTCTCGACCTCTTTTAGAAGGGCAAACCTCAAAAGCTATTCTCCTCCCGATTTGATCAATAGGAGCTATTATCTTTGCAGTTTCTCAGAGGATTGACTTTTTGGCACTGATTCTGCAAACCATAAGGTTTTGGTATTTAAGCCTCAACAGTGGGAGTGTTATTTGGAAGGAAGGAAAAAATAAGCCTTGAATCCTCCTCATTGATAAAAGCCTGTGCTCTCTGAAAGCATTACTGGTTCATCTCAGCAGTTGGCAGGTAGAGACCCAACGTTCACAGGATGTGGAAGCCCTTCCAAGAAGCTCCCAGCCATGCCACATCCTGTATCCCTGATTCAGTGATGCATGAGGTTACACAGGCACACACATACTCACAAGACTAGCAGCCAGCCCAGTAGCTGCAAAGCCTGAGTGCAAGAGAAGCAAGTGGCTACCCCAGTGCCTTTCTTGATCACTCACGGAGTCCTAGAATGTTATACCTGAGTGGGCCCTCCAGGCCCAGGACTTACTAATCAAATTACATTCTTTGAATCCACAGGATTTTTTGGAGCTATTTACAGAGGAACATAAGAGGATTTGGGGTTCTCCAGGACAAGAGTACAAGGCTCTAGACCCTCCTTCAAAAGAAACAACTCTACTTATATCTGTTTCATATATTGTTGTGTTTACAGGTACTGTAGAAAATGCTCCAATGTTTTAAATGATTTTTAAAAAACATTATGTCATACAATCTCCTCATTTTTCAGATGAAGCAAGTGAGGCCCTTGGTAGGGAAGTGCCTTCGCCAAAAGCACAGAAATTCTAAGATAGAGCCAGACCCTAGAGGTGGCTCAAAAGGAAATACATGCTGACTTCTTACTGAGCTGCATGTTCTGCTGTCTATAGCCCTAAGATGCGGTAGTATCCTCAGAGGCTGAGCTTTGAGAGACACTCTAGGAATTTCTAAGCAGCCAGGGTCAGTCACATAAAAGGGGCATACTCTTCCTACAGTAAAAGAAGGCCTCCAC